GCAGTGTCCAGTGTACGGGGCCTCATTAAACTGCACTTAACGAGCTTCGATTTATGGGCGACAAAGTGGAGCCTCGATAAAAGGGCGGCCAGCGAGGCGAAAACTGGGCTAATGAAAGCGTTAATATAAGGATCCTCTTACCAACGATAATGATGATGCCGTTGATGTGGCCATGGATCTCCTGCTCCCCTTATTTGTTTAATGTCATTTGGCCAAATGCCAAGCATTTTCCATAGGATTGTTTGTCCCCCAGTACAGGCTAGTTTTACAGAACTCGAGAGCACAGTAAAAAAAATATATTATTAATTATAAAATTTACTGATTTTTTTCACAAAATGGAGGGTTTCTAATTTGCTGTATTCAATAAGAAATGGAACTTAAAAAACTTTCTCTCAAGGGTGACACAAAATATTTTTAAAATACTTAAGAACTTGCTGAAACTTTTCTGTTAAAGACAGTTTGCATATAAAGTGGTTCTGTGTTGATTTTATAATAAATATAATAATAACAATTAAAATCAGGCATCTTTTTTCCCTATGTATTTGAGTATCCGCCTCCGTGTGCCACGTAAGTCATCCTGGAGCTGGGCCAAGATTTCCGTTCGTTGCGTGGCCAGGAATTTGAATTTGAACGCCAGACATTTGGGCGTTGCACGGTTGTAAATTCATTTGTTAAACGATGCGCTCATAAAATTTGCGCCCTTTTTTTACGGCCCCAAGAAGAGCTGGTCGCAGACTCAGGGCCAAAAGACTGAAGGAAGTTGGCAACAGAATGGGGTTCGGGTTCCAACAGGACAAAAGGAGGCGTGGCCGACTTCCATCTCTGGCTGAAATGGCAGCAGTGCCATTCTGGCTCTAAGTCCCTCTTCGTTTTCTTCCCCTCCCCGAAGGCAGATAAAAAGTTCAACAGCAGCGCGATTTATTTGCCCGTCTTCGGCGCAGACACGGCGCCAGCTGAGCAACATTTTTTTTTTGGGCAGCCAGGAGTTTAGGCCCGGCTTAAATTCTACTGTAATTATATGTCTCACCGTACGCACACACGGAAATTGCGAGAAGAAATTTCAGCTAATTTGCCAACATTTAAATATACAAAAAGGGAACCTCGACCACTCGTCCAGCTGCCCCTTAGAGCGTGTTAATTCGACATGTTTTCCGCCAGCGGACCAGGGACATCGGACCCATTTAGGGCCGAGTATTTGCACTGCCTCGTGAAATTCATGTGGATTTCATGGAATAAAAACTCGCGTAAAAAACGTCAAATTGCAACACCTCGAGGGCACACACAGCCGCAGATACAGATGCAGAGGCCCAGATACGGATACAGACACAGGCGCAGGCACTGGCACTCGGTACCCAACCAGAATCGGGCCCAGAAACAGAACCAAGATCCAAAACCCCAGGCGTACCCAAGTCCATAAGTCAGTGAGGGCCCCCCTAAACCCCTCCCCGACCCTCGTAATAATTGCGTATCTGGCAGATGCAATTTATCCGTGAATTTGTTTTTAATTTTCAACACATTCGCTAATTTGATTTTTAACTTCGTTTCGAGCACTGCCTCGGTCTCAATCACAGACAGCCACGGCCAAATTGCTGCACCTAATCGTGAGTATGAGGATGGCCTGGCCGAGGGATGAGGGCCCCTGGATAGGACGGCTCCAACACCCGCTTTCATTTATAATTTTGTGCAACTCACTTTGGCCCAGAGCTCTGAACTAAGAGGCCCAAGCTCTAAAGCACTGCAAACAAATATTGGGCTATTTTTAGATGATTTATTCGGTGATTTTTCATTCAATATACTCGGAGGATTTTTTTATAATATATATCAAGAAATGGGTTAAAAAAAACGATTACCAAATGGCTTACTTTTAATTTCACAATTTATTTTTCATCACATCTTGCATGGAAATAAAACATTTATTAGACATCTTTATGATTTAATAACTAATACCTACTTCAAATTTCTTAACACACAATTGTTCAAAAATGTATATTTTGGGGAGCACAATTGTAAAGTATTAATACAATGCGTTGTTTTTACAAAGATGTAAAAAATAAAACAAGACAATATCCGCTGGCCATCATAAGCATTCAGGTTTTAAAGAACTGGGGTATATACCAACTACTTATTAAAGCCCTATTTTTTTCCGACGTCGGTTAGTGTAATTTTTTAATTGCTATCAAAATTTAAAACAACAATATCTGAATAATGATCGATTTTTTCCCTGTGCAACGACTGTTCCCAAGTATATGGTGTTTTTTCATCCGCCTCTCCCAGGGCTTTTTGTATCTTTTTTAGCTGCACGGGGCGCTGCTTGTTAGTCGCGTAATTTATGTTCCACCAGATACTCGTTGGCGTTGCTTGGACCAACTTCCCCTGTCCGAGGACTCCCCTCCCGACTTGGCAGGGATCTCCATCCTCCCGATCATCCCCATCCTCCTGCTCCTCCTCGTGGTGTCTCTGCTTATTTTCTTATCCGTTGTTATCCGCGCTACGAGTTGTTTGCGCAGGCGCAACTTGAGGGCCACGGGCAAAAAATGGAACGAAATAAAACTACAAATCGATTTTCAACGCAATGCGCTCAGCGTTCGATGGCCTTATCCTTGGCTCCTTGGCAGCAAATTCACGGTGAGCGTGAAAGGATTAGGGTCTATTAGTGGTTAAGGCCAAATTGTCGATTGGTATACAGATGGATTAGAGGCTTTCAATCTATAGATTTTAAATGAGTTTAAACTAAACTAAGACCTCTTATTTTTATATGGACTATGAATTTATTTTTAATGTTCAAAATAGTTAGTTGCTAGATTATTAAACATATGCCTAAGCCTATCATTTAATTTACAAAGAATGCTTAACTCTTATTAAATACATATATAAGTCAAGAGAAAAATGTTGTTCTCTAATTAAACCATTAAGACCAAAACCTTTATGATTAATTTAGATAAGAAAACTATATTAAATGAAAACTGAATACTGACTTCTGGGTCGATGAAATACGATATCGAGAATTGTAAAAGTCATGGGATAATGGCGACCCCATTAAACCCCGCCTCCCCCTGCTGACCTCATCCCGCTGATCCCCCTGTTTTTCTCCCAAATCGCCCTGCCTCGATTGCCATTGACTTGGCCGGGCTACCACCACTGGCAGCCACTATAATCCACACCTTGGCTTTATGGCCAATAATTTTGCAGGCAACAAGAACATGAACCGGAAACATAACAAATCATAAATTAAACCCTCGTTAAGCAAACTTATTGCCATTGCTGGTCGACGGCGAGGTCTCGCCCATGCGCCATAACTGGCCAACTGAGACCACTGAGGGCCCCTTGTGAAAAACCCCCTCACCTCCCTCCCCGAATATGGGGAGTCCCAAGCAGTTCGAATTCTGCACTGTTCTGCTTTTCTCCGGTCCGGAGTAATTTGCTTCATCTTTATGCCTTTCAGTGCGTGGCTGTGAGTTTTATTTTATGTTACTACTTGTTTAAATTATATTGCGCTATTAAGCGAATTTAATGAAAACGCTGCAAGGCCCCGAGAACGAGGAGCAGTTATAGGGTTTTTTTTGTTGTTGCTTTCTGGGCTCCGGCCTCGTTAGGTGTAAAATAAGACCCAGCAAATCGAACGTGTTGAGGCTGATGATGATAATGATGATGGGTCTGGGGAGGATTGCCGTGGTTCGCAGAGGAAGAGGCAGAGGCAGAGGTTGGCCAATTGTTTCGACCAGATCGCACAGCAAAAACCCGATAAAGATAAAAATCCCGGGGACAATCAGTGGGACATGCCGCACAAATTGCGCTTAATCCATTGGCATTTCATTATTAAGCAATTTCGCGCAGCAAGCTGCAAACAGCAAAAAACCGAAAATCCGCTCAACGCTCGGGGCAATTTAAATTTTTATGCAATTTGTACAAAAATGCTGTTATTCTTGCACAAAAGTAGCATAATTATTTCCGAGAAACGGTCGCAGGCAGAAAAGACGGTGAACCGAAAAAACGCGAATGTCAACCAAAATCATTGCAAACGACACATTATCCTCACGGCAAAACGATGCTAATCCATCACGGACCCTCAAGCTCAAGCCCCGGGCTTTCAAACAGAGTCCGAGTCCGAGCTGATCGTACACAGAAAAAAAAACTTGAAATTAAATACAACATCATCGAGTGTTCAACAAATATTATAGTTTTTAGATACTATATAAAATAGTTTTTAATAAGGTAAAAATCTGTGCCTCTTCTAATGAAAGACATCTCAAATAAAAATGTAATTATGACAACTAAGCAAGAAATAAATTAACCTTAAATAAAAAATTGAATCCTTGTATGCCTAAATGATCCTTAAAAAAGTTAATATAGCTTTTAGACACTATCAAAGGAAATTATTAAGAAACCTTTAATCTAAATTTAAATTCAAATTTCTTCAAAAGTGGATCTTTAAGAAAACATAGCTTAGAGATCTATTACCCCATTTGATATGCTTTTTTTCAGCAGTGCACATCCAGCAGACGAAATGTCACTTAAGCATTTTAGTGGCAGGAGAGAATCGAGAATCGCGGACGGATTCCTTTCGCTGGGCTAACCAAGTGCGATCTGCGATCAACGATCAGCGATCGGTTATGAGATCAGAACAAAAGAGCTCTCACTGTAAACGAGGCCGGCGAACAAACCCCAGAGCCAAATCACGACGCACAGTCTGGCAAGACGATTGTGGTCGATCGGTGAATTATGCGCGACATCATTTTAAATCGTTGTAGCAACGTCAAAGCTAAACACCGATCAGGTCAGCCCAGTCGAGTCAGGAAGGCAAAAAGGAAAATAAAAGCTACAAAAATAAGTCAGTCAGAATCGGAGGCAGTCTGAGATCCCGATCCTCAGCCAGATCCCTTGTCCATTGTCTTTGGGTAGCAGCCGCCCTAATTGATGCAGCACGGCCATAAATTTTGATCGGCCAACGATCCCCAGCCTGCTCCCCTTGCAGCTGCAGAGGGTCCCAAGATTGCCATGAATACATCAACATGAGCCCTCTTTTATTTCGCTCAAATCCACGTCCTCCTCTGGCTCAAAATCTGATTCCGAAACATCTTCGGCTTCTTCCGACTCTGTTGTTGAGTATTCTGCTTCGAAACCGGCGAAGGACAGGGAATACTCCACTTCGCGATGCTCTTCGGGACTGTAGTACATTCCAAGGACACCCTCGACCAGCTCATGTTTGGCCACCTCAACGGGATCGTCCACAAAGATTATGGTCTGCTTCAGATAGGTGCAAGGTTTCTTGGGACTGGTGGAGAACAAACGCCTAAATTTGCCAATGGGTCGGGAGAATCCAATATCCGAATAGAGGACCACAGCTCCAAGTGGACTGTCCTTCAGACCCCTCAGCTTGAAGGGAACCCTAAAATCCTCATCAGATGCATTGGCAGTGCAGAGATCGATAGTTTTGAGGAGAAACTTTTCGGTGACAAGCTGGTCCTTGGCCACATAATCCTCTATCAGACACACGGGTTCCTTGACCATATAACTCCGACCGGGATAATCCGTTTGGGGAAGAATATTCACTTCGATGGTTTCTCGCCGATGCTCAGCAATTCCGCAGACAAACAGCTGAGCCACATTGGGAACAATGAGACCGCCTTTAACAAGCCATTTTTTTCTGGCATAGATTACATCCTTAAAAAGGGAGTCCACAAAAATCGAGTGGCTGCGAGAAAAATTAAATCATGACCTGGGTTGGCTAAAAAGGTTTAAAAATGCCGTATGATTTTACAATTCATTGTGAGCATTTGGATCACTTATGCTTTTCAAACTATGTAAGTTTAAGGGTCAATGACAACTTTTCCCCCAGTGCACTTCCAACAAAAGAAATGCACTTAAGCACTTAAACTACATAAATGCAAACATTTAAACCTACCCTATCCACTCGGACACTATAATATCCACTTTCTTGAGGCCACAAGGCAAAAGGATCTCATCAATGTCACCCTTGACGAACTCAAAGATATCCTCCTTTTCGGTGTGGGAAATTGCCTTCTTAACTAAGTCGGCACTTTCCATATTGCCCAGAGCTATGACCTTGACGGCCCCCGCCTCCACGCTCATCATGCTAAGTAATCCACTTCGACAACCCACATCCATCACTATCTGCACAGAATGTTCATAAAAATTTAGGAAGTTGAAAAGTACTTAACATTAAGATTTTACCTTATCCTTGAAGAGTCGTTCGTATCGCCTGAATAACCATTCATATGCTCTTGAGGATACGATATCATTCAGCATTCCATCCGCCATGACTTTCAGGATGGCCTTCTCTAGATTCATTTTTATCGAAAAGAATATTGAACAATTTTTATACAAATAAACCTTTTTAAATGTCACTTTGATAAACTTTGATTGATGACTATATTAAAAATAAAAAATATCTAAGCCATTTTTCATAAATCACATTTATAGTCATCAAAACAACAGAGTAGTATATAATATGAATTTAAATATATTTGTTTAAAAAAAAACACATGTGCCGATTGATTTGAAATATTATATTTTTTTTGAAAGGTTTCTTAATTATGAATAGATGGATCATTTTCCAGTAGACAGACCATAGTCAAATAGTAGTTCAAATAATTCTGGTTTCAAATTTCCTGCTCCAATCTGGCAAACATAAATTCCGAGTTGATTATCGCCCGGCATTTCTCACAGTTCCCAGGCGTTATCGCCAGGCGGGTGACAACAATTAGTTACGAGGCAATTGTGGGATCGGACCTCCTTATCAGCGGGAACAGGCACAGGATACTCATACTCCCAGTGTATGGCATCCAGGCGACCAACCGGGTTAAGCTGTCTAACGAGTCTCTAATTTATAGGTGACTTGGCGCGCAGTGTCCCGCTCCGTTGACAAATGCCAGCAATTTGATACCCGAAGAACATGAACGCGGAATGGAGGTGGGAAGGGGATACAAATTGAAACGTTTGCTGGGCCTACGCTGGCTGGATCGAGGATGGGATCGGATCGTATCGGATCCATCTGGGTGCTGTTTTTGTCTGGGACTTGGTTAATGCCCGCAGCGGGGTGCACACCTGATCGCTGGGATGAGGGATGCGAACAAGTGTTGACCGAAAATCAAAGATCGCTGGCTCATTTGTGGCGCTTTTGTGCACGCTAGATAACCAATATTTTATAATCATGTCCAATAATGGTGTGCATATTAATTTCATGGGCGCATAAAGCAACTTTATGGCCTTTTAAGAACTGCCATTAACAAAGACCATTCGTGCACAAACACAAAACGAGCTGACAAGAGATTTTGGGCAACCTCTCCAAGATACACCGTAGACCTCGAAAACGAGACAATGCAAATGGCTAAAATAGTAAATAGAGTTATAAACGCATAAAAGGCGTTCATTGTGGGCCCACGGCGTTGGCTTTCACAAATTTATACGACGGGCCATCAATTAATTAGAGGCGGAGAGGTGGACACATTTTTCCCCCCTAAGCGACCTGGTCTTTGAAATTAATTTGTTAAGAAAGTCGTTAACATTTCGGCTGTCCACTTTCTAAGCCCCGGCGCGGATTGATTGGCCACCAAAACCCTGGGGCACTTGGCGGCCCTCGATTAACGACCCATTTTATGGCAGTTATCAATTCGGTTCAAGTTTTATGTGGTACCCAGTTGATCAGGGCGAATAATGTCCCGTCGAACTGAAGCTCTTGAAGCTCTCCACCCGCGTCCGATCGCCCCGAAAACTGATGTTGAGGTCAAAGTTCATGGAGCGCCCGTCCAGCCCACTGGGCATCATGGCCAGTTTTCCGCGCACCCGATCATTGGGCTTCACGAAAAGTGGTTCATCCAGGTGGAGCAGCGTCTGCTCCCAGTGCGTCCACGACGATCGCGGCGAGGTGGATAAGGTCACTGGTTTTTCCGATTTCCCCGCCGGAAAACCCACATCGAAGTACAGGACCAACATGTTGATGATCCCAGCTCGCCGCACAGTCAGCTGGAAATTGGAGCAAAAGACCACGGGCTCATTGCGGGCAAAATTCAGCTGAGTGGAGTGGATGAAGCACTCGTCGGTGAGCAATTGCTGGATGGGCACACAATCCACCAGGGGCTGCCGGGAAAATGGCTTCCGAACACAGACCATATCGAAGCCTTCGACATTATGCCAAAAGTTCAGATTTGCGAACCTATGCGGATCATGGGCGCCAATCAACCAGAGATTTCCAATGCTGGGCAGGATTAGACCGCGGCGGGAAAGCCATTTATCCCGGGCAAATAGCACCGAATTCAGCATGCACTCCATATAAAGAGCGTAGCTAAAAATATAATTTATCAAAACTATAATATATTTAGAAGGTACACATTATCTTACCCCATCCACTCGGACAATATGATGTCCACCTGCTGAATGCCATCGGGTAGTTCCACCTGCTCCACCAATCCCTTGACCACTTTCACCACATCTTCCATTTGATTATCCCTCACAATTTCACTGGCGACATCTGCAATATCCGTGCACTCCACAGCTATAACTTTACGGGCTCCTGCTTTGGCAGCAAACAGGGATAGTATACCAGTGCCACATCCCACATCCAGGACGACCTTGTCCTGGAAGAGAGCACTATTCTGGAAGATGGCATCGCGAAAGGCCTGGGTGCGAACCGAATCCCTCAGCATGGTTATGTGCGTCTCCAAACGGGCGTACGACTGAAAGTAGTCGGCATTGGGGTCTTGCAGGCCCTGAGTCCTTTGATTGAAAAGAATCAACTCATCCCAGGACATGTCCAGAATTCACCAATTCAAAACTGTTTTCACCAATTCCAGACTTTGAATATTAACGATTTGTCTATTGAAAATTGACGGAGTCTAAACAGAAAAACAAGGGATCGAAAAAACATGGCTATCATGTGATTTATTTTTATTGAAAGTAAGTATTTTTCGTATATATTAATACTTAAATGTTTCGAATTTAAAGTAAATCAGGAAAGAAAGCAAGCCGCGTCTATGCCCTTGCATGTCTTACACAAATTAAATATTCTATTGATCAGATTTTTAGAGAATCAAACTACAAGTCTTAAGAGGTAAGACACTTTAAAATTTTCTTAAGTTTTTCAGTTTTGGTTTACCTTTTTACAAGTCATCGGATTCAAAGCTTAAATTATAATAGGAAAAAATAACTACACGAAGAATTGATATTTTGTTTTGATAGTAGGGCATTTCACAGTCGTTTTTTAAATATTAACCAACATAAAACAGTGGATACCAGTAGGAAATAGAAATGCGAAAAAATCCAACCGATCTACAATCTTATCACATATGTATGTACGTAAGCCACATAATAAATCTATAAAAATCGGGAATAACCGCCGTATATTTGCAAACAATACTACGTCATTCTATCGCCATCATTAGCATCTGAATGGCCGAAACCAGATAAATCAAATTTTGCATTTAATGGACCCATTAAAAACGCCAAAAAAAATCGCCCCACTCAAAAGTCCGTGAAAGAAATGTGCCGCCAACACCTTAACACCAGGCCATAACTCGCTTAAGCCGCCCAGCCCCGAATTTATTTTTATGGCCAAATTTAATGATGCCCCTTCCCAATGTTCCTCCAACCGACCACTTTCACTGTGAACCCCAAATCCAAAACCCGAACCCCAGCAAATTGTGCAACTCGTGCCCAACGGTAAAAAACAAATTGTTAAAAATTAAAAATGGAAAAATGCCCGTCATAATTTTTAAAGTGTCATAAAAATATCTCCATAAAGAGACGAAACTATTAAATTGGCTCATTAATCAATTTAGTCACAGAGCAACAATAAAAAGGAGCACATACAAACACGCGACATTCGAGCATAATAAACTATAATTTTTAATGTTGCTAAATTTTATGCTAATTTGCCATTTCTGGCGTTCCATAATTAGGCCCGCTCCTCAGGCGGGGGGTCGTATTCGGTTTTGTTTTCGATCTCCGATTGCGTTTGGGCCCGGCCAACAATCGCTGCCATTTGTTCGGACGGCTTTAAAAACCTATAAAACTTTTGGCACAAATCAATTAAAAAGCGACGTAAGTTTCCATTAGTGCGCTGGCTCGGTGTTCCCAATGAGAATGCCACCCACTGAGGTGATTAAAACGCGACGAAGCTTTGCATATTGAATGCGATGATGTCTTCTGACATACTTGGAGCCCATTTGACGCGTATTACCAAATGTTCGACATCGTCAATTTATTCGCGGTGTGGGAGGCAGAAAACCCACCTTGATTTTCGATTTTCACCTGACCCACAAGTCAAGAGCCATAAAAATAGAAAATTAATTACCTTACCTCAAGGTACCTATTTTCGGACAGAGGAGATTTTTTAAAACCTTCGATTAAGTAATTAAGTTTTTAGGAAATAAAACACTGCTATTTATTTTTTTGTCTTCGTAGCATCCTTCTCCATCTCCTAATAAAAAAAAATATTTTTTAGAATAAGAAATGTTTACTAATTATAATAAAATTGCATTTTAAGAAAACCATTTTTATACCCTTGCAGAGGGTATTATAATTTTGGTCAAAAGTGTGCAACGCAGTGAAGGAGACATCTCCGACCCTATAAAGTATATATATTCTTGATCAGGATCACCTCCTGAGTTGATATAGCCATGTCCGTCTGTCCGTCTGTCCGTCTGTCTGTCCGTCTGTCTGTCCGTCTGTCTGTTTCTACGCGAACTAGTCTCTCAGTTTTAAAGATATCGAATTGAAACTTTGCACACCCCCTTCTTTCCTTTGCACGCAGTATATAAGTCGGAACGGCCGGGATCGGCCGACTATATCCTATAGCTGCCATATAACTGAACGATCGGGAATGCCAAACTTTGGTGTTTTTAAAGTTAGAAAGTTGGGATTTTCTATGGGTTTTACATTTGGCCAATCAATTTGACGTACCAAATTTTATAAGGATCGGCCGACTATATCCTATAGCTGCCATATAACTGAACGATCGGAAATGCCACAACTTTGGTGTTTGTAAAGTTAGGAAGTTGGGATTTTCTATGGGTTTTACATTTGGCCAATCAATTTGACGTACCAAATTTAAAAGGATCGGCCACTATATCCTATAGCTGCCATATAACTGATTAATCGGAAATGCCATAACTTTGGTGTTTGTAAAGTTAGGAAGTTGGGATTTTCTATGGGTTTTATTTTTGGCCAATCAATCCGACCTACCAAACTTCATAAGGATCGGCCGACTATATCCTATATCTGCCATATAACTGAACGATTGGAAATGCCATAACTTTGGTGTTTTTAAAGTTAGGAAGTTGGGATTTTTTATGAGTATTAAGAATGCATCATATGAATAATTTTGGGGAATATATTTTACAGAGTATTCTGCAAGGGTATATCAACTTCGGCTCCGCCCGAAGTTAGCTTTCCTTTCTTGTTTTAACTTTTTAAGGGCAATTTATTTTGTATCGCTCTACAATTTTTTAGTAATAATAAATAATGATCTTGAGTATTAACACTTTTTGAAATATTTATTCGTCATCTTCCGAATCAGAACAATATATTTAATTAAAGTCATCTATCCAACGACGGGTTAGGAGTTTTATTTCCTATCTAACAGTAAGTCAAATTGTAACCACAGTCAAGGACAATCAAGGGGTGGCTGGGAATAAATTGGGAGGGTCGATTGTAATCAACCACTTCATCAAAAACAAATAATAACATGTGCTCGATGAATGGCCAACAAGGGTCCTCAAAAAGGTCTGAAAACAGGGGTTGATTGGCCTATCATAATCGTTTTAATAGAGAGTGAACACTAGTCAAACAATAGGCTATGGTTTCAATGATACTATTCCCATGAAAGAATGGATAACTTAAATCTTAAGCCCCTGTTTTTCTGCCCAGTGTAACTTTCATTTGATCAATCAGTCATCGATTAACCAACGAAACCAATCCCCCATCCCGTCCCAATTTCAGAATCCCATCGACTTTCTGGTGTTAACGATGAGGCAATTTGATTTTAACGGAGCTGCCAATATCAAATCCCCTCCCCTCTTCACACCCTTCTCTTCCACATCGCGATGCCGAAAAAAATTAATTGCTGGTTGTGCTAAAGTTTGATTGATGCACTTGGTTTGGCAAAGGAATAAATAAAATTTCTGACACTTGGGAATTTTAATTAGAATGCCTTTGTTTCGGACCTCGAACTGCGGACCAGCCCAGACTGGCTGGCTGATGAAGTCGTTTCGATAAAATGCAAAAATGTTCCACCACCCCGCGCCATTTCCTTCGGCTCACCACCATTGCACTTCCCTTATGTGCCTTTCCTTTCGATTCATTTTTTTGTCCAAAGCCGATAGTGTTGCCATTTTTTGTTAAGTACCCTTACTTGTTACTATAGTACTCTAAAGAGTTGAATACTAACATACTAACAAGATTTAATAAAAACCTGCTGAAAATCAAATCTTAGGGTCCCAAAAATATTTGAATCTTTGACGAAGGCCATACCAATTTATACATAACTCGACAAAAGTATTACTTTTTATCACATAATGCTATTTATTTACTTATTTGAACTTTATTAAGCATGACTCTAAAACAATATTAACTTTTTAAAATTGTTTAACGTTCATTTAAGCTCTAATAAACATTATACAAGTCAAGCCTATCCTTATTCAGCTAAATAAAGCCAGGTTTAGCCTACAGTAACAGCTAAGCCGGCAACACCGATATGCGAATTGTTTGCCAATTAGCGCCCCCTGGCACACAGTGGACTCACGATTTCTGAGCGGCTGATAAATTAGCGAAATTTTAATTTGATTTCCTTCACAAATTTCCGCCGAACTGGGCATGGACTGGCTGACTAGCTGGCTGGATGGCTGGGTGTCGGAAAGTCGGAGAGTCGGAGTGTCTGGCCAAGTGGACACAGAAGCAGCGGCAGCAAATAAACTAAGTGAATTTATGGCCCCAAGGCAGGAGCGAGCACACGTGTGCGACATGCCCACACATTGACACCTACCAATAACCAACCAACAACTACCAACTACCGACCATCCAATAAGCGACTAAACCACACTCCAATAGGGCTGCAGGTCCCTTGGCGCGTTTTGGATCAGATCGACTCGGTGGTTTGGTTGGGTTTTTGTTTATGCTGGGCAGGCACAAACGAGCTGACAATGCCCCATGTCATGGTGACCGTACGTGCGGCCAAACAAATTACAGGGAAATTGCGTCACCTGCAGGAATTTCCACTCAGCATTGTCAAATGGCATCAGAAATCGTTGGACATGTTGTAACATTAATTTGACATTTTACGGCCCAGGACAGGGATCGTTGGGAATGATTACCCATCGATCCATATGCATATCGGCCCGAGGACTCCTTAACAATCTGGCCCCAGACCGCAGAGCAACACAGGACAACGGCAGACATCTGTCGAGCGGACCAAGGATGCTGGAGCCACCAAGAGATCTTGCACCAACATATCCGAAGCACTCGGAAAAATATAAGGTACTTTACACTTAAATTAAGTACAAAATAACAGCAGATCACAAACTACATCAGTAAATGCAATTATTTTTTCAATTACAGATAGTAGTAAAGTGTTATTTATATTTGCTTGCTTAAGGTATATACATATGTAGATATAAGTTGAAAATGTTGAGATGGTCAAGAAAAGACCATGATGAAGAAGTTATATTGATATATCCTTTATAATATAAGTTATTTAGAAGGAGTAACACGTATGACAATTTCACATCTAGGTAGGCGAACTTATATGGAATCTCTGGGTTGGTAATAGGTGATGGTTTTCTTAATTAATTTAAAACCCCAACTTGTATTTTTCCAGTGTATTTCCAACTTCGGATGCAGCTCCTGGCGTTTGACCTAGCAGCTGCTGCAATCTGTTGGAGGAGTGCAAAAGGCATTTCTGACATTAAAACAAATTGATGCGGTCGGGAAATCTCATTGCCGGCTTAGTGAATCTGATTTGCGGTCATCGTTAACCCAGATACAGATTCCCGCACTCGGTTTTACAGATGCCAGGCTGCTGCGATTAATTTGCTGCGGTGGCGATAATTTGTTAATCGAAGCATCCTCAACGCAGCTTGTACTCCGGTGAGTCTCCTCCTCCTCCAGTTGGCAGCATTGTCCAATTAAATCTGACGAAAGTAGGGTGGGAATCTTGGTTGTTGACTTTGCTTCCCAGCTTGTTGGTTTAACGGCCGGCGTTCTTTTACGACGGCATTTAGCTAAACTATCCTGCGAACGCCTCTGGGGAGGCTCATCCCTGGGTGGCTGGGCTGATGGCCGGATTCCCCGTGCTGATGGTGCAGCATTTAATGCGGAAACGTGCCCCAAGTCGGGCTTCGATTAGCCACCGGCCTGAATGATGTGTGGAGGTCAGCAGTAGATGATCACGCAGCAGCCATTATGGGCAAAGGCACGCCCGCGACTCCTTAATGGTCCGCCAATTCCCTAAATCCATTTCGGTTGGATCAAATCTAGATGCGTCCTAAACAACGAGTGCTTTTATTTCGATTTTTACTGTGCAGCTTCAAACAATAAGTGAAATGTGTGGTTACAAAAAATGTAATCCTGATTCGAAAATAAAAATTTTACTTTTTTTCTTTAGATTTGTTGAATACATTTAAAGATATTAAAAATTACAATGCTCGGCGCCATTATTTTATTAGTTATCTTAGGCCACATATTTTGTTTTATTTGTTTCATCTCTAGTTACCTTATACACACAAAACAGTAAGAAAGCTTAGACAAAAATAAATCCTAAGTACAGTTCAATGATAGTTATCTCTGCGCTTTGTAAATTCGATATATATGTAAGTACTTTAAAAATAAAATATATTTGAAATTATAAATATTTCCAGTTCTAAACAAAAATAACTTCTTCATTCGTTTATAAGCCTTTCTTTTTAAGGACAATGCTTTTTTAAATTGGCTTCAATGTGAACGGCGACGACAGGTCAAGTTTAGCGGCTGATCCATAGCATAAAACTCCTCCAAGTGCTGCTTCTCTAAATTTTGATCCTGGTCTTTACGTGCTTGCTCCTCGATATCCATCAGCATCTTCAACAACTCCTTAATCTCTTCTTCGAGTTTTAATGCATGTGAATCTGAATTCAGACCATCCAACTGAGGCATTGTGTTTTCCTCTTTGGAATATGGTTTCTCGAACTGATCTTTTGGGATTTGAGCCTCTGAATAGTGCTCCTCCATATGCTCCTCTGCATAGAATTCATCCAAAAGAGGCATCGAATACTGAATCGGGGAATCCTTCATCTCCAACTGAACTTTTTGGGTATCCTTCTTGTGATAATCCAGCTGCTTCTTACGGTTTTCTGGGTCCTGCTCCTTCAGCTGATGATTGGTGTTAGGCTTCTTTGAATTTAGAGCAGTAAACTGAGCCACTGAGTCCTGCCCTTTCAGCTTGTTATTATAGTTAATCCCATTAGAATTCTGCTCTCCCAGTTCATCATTGAAGCCCAGCACGTCTAAAGACTGCTGATTAATTCCCTTTGAATGCTGTTCCTCCAGCTGGGAGTCGTGCTCCTCTAGTTGATCCATCGAGTCCTGCTCTTTGGCAACCTGTTCCTTTGACTGGGTCTTTGAGTTTAGTCTCTCCAAATCCTGTTCCTCCAGTTGATCTCCGTAGTTGTGCCCCTGTGAGTCCCCTTCCTCCATCGAGTTCTGCTTTGCCTGGTGCTCCACCAGGACCTCTTCGCCGCCATCTACCATGTAGTCAATCCTTAGATCCTCGGCGTTGACGCAATTGCCTTCGTGCATGGCCAACTGCTGGTAGTAGCCAACATCGTGCTCCGGATTTTCAAATGCCTGGCGGGCGTGGAGCATGGCGCCCCGGAACGAGGGATTACAGGCGGAACTCCTGGCTGGAACCACGCCCAATCGACGCACGTGCCTCTCGAAGTCAAAGATCTGGGCGCAAGGGACTTTGGCGTGGTTGCAGGTGCCGTAGAAGTACACGTTGCACGCCTTGGAACCGACGCGATCCAGGATGCGGGCTGGCCAGGCGCGGTATCCTCGCACCTTGGCGAAGACGAAGTCGCCGATCGTGAACAGCGGCATCTTTGGACGGTGACGACCCATTTTATACTCTCTTTTTAAGTTATTTTCAAGGAAAAATCTGATCTAACAAGCACTTGTTTTTAAAGTTTGATTTCCAAGAAGGAAAAGAGAGACAGAATATCGTTTGCCTGGAATCGGTTTGGAGTTGCCAGACCGGTAGATGACTTTGCGCCAAAATTAGTGGTAGTGCTGGATAACACCGTATTTTTAAACTTATTTTCATTGCAGATTATAAACTAAAGATATTAGCTCGTGTATGTGAATATTTAATTTTGGTCTTAGTATCTAATAGTACCAAGGTAAACACTACTTGTGTTCAATTTTCGCATACATACAGCGAAACCTGCCATTGGATTTGGGTCATTTGGGTGGGCGGGCAATGTTTCTGTAATGAGCAAACAACATTTGCATTAATGGTCATTTGCGTAGAAATTTGCACAACACGCTACCTGCACTCGGCTTTTTATTCCCCGCCTTTGTGCGTGTGCAGTTCTGTTTTAAATTTTCGCTCACGTTCGTCGTATTATGCGCAAATTGGCTTTTTAAATTGTCGACTTGTTTAAGCTAAACGCAGCTACACTTTATGGCCATGTTCCGTGCTGCATTTTAAGCCATGCGAAATTCCACTAAGCCCTTCGCATTTGACGCGCCCCCTTTCGCTTAACTCAATTATAATTATTTTAATTTAGCACAGAAGCATGGTCCATAAAAAATGGCAAAATTGCATTATTTACCAGGCGTAATTACAACAATATTTATATGCTAATGAGCCCGTCACTTCGCGGCATTTGTGCCACAACGATGGGAATTAACCGGAGGTCTGGGAAATGGGTGTTGAAGTTTTTCATTTGAGAGCATTCGGGGACTGGTGCTGGCGTTCTGTCACCTGCCTCCGCTCAGTGCTCAGAATTCAATTAGAAAATGCAATTTACGATCCGGCCACGAGACCCACAACACTAATACCCGGCAGCCTGTCCCCCCGCTCCCCGAATTTTCCTGCATTTTCCAGCGCATTAGGCCCACAGGCTGAAGGCGGCACGGGGGCATAAGCTACGCATGTAATTTGTAAGTCATTTTTTCAACTATCATCGGCCCAGACAAACGACAGCCACCGCGTCGACGGCCACGCACTTTATACACAGGGAAAATTACCCAATAAATATCTAAAAACTTCCTAAAAAGAGATACGATTTTTATTCACATTTTGCAGTTTAAACTCTTAGAAACTCCAACAAAAAGTAATAAACTTTTTAAGCATACGATGCTTCCCTTAGATATTACCAATATTATTTTGTATTAAACCAGAATGTGTACTTATTTTGGAATTGAAATCGGCCTAAAACATTTTTTTTAAGCTAATGTATGCAAATGTAAAGAATGGTTTTTTATTGAACCTTTTCATTTACCTTGTAGAGCCGTAACTTTTTCTAAATAAATAAATAAATTATAAATGAAATGTATAGGTAACAGTGCACATCAAACTATTTTACAATGAATATTTTCTGTCTTAACCCTTTATTTATTTTTTTATGAGGAAATTACATTTTTTCCCTGTGCAATCCCGAAATGCATTACAAACCCCGGCGAGCAGGGAAAGGAGGAAGTCGGGCCAAGAGGCACAAGCCAGCGCGTTAAGTTGGAAAAATTAAGTAACGAAAGCAGTGAATAGGATTGCGATTGGGAATGGCCACGAGAATAGGGAATGGCAATGGCCATGGCCAACGACGGGCAGGCATAAATTATGAATCATTTGGACGCTTCCTTATGACACCAAAGGCCGAAGAAGCCACCTAGCCAAGTTTTTCAGTTCGAAAGAGTTGCCGAGAGTTTCGCTGTGGGAAGTTCGAAGTGATTAACCAACGACGGCTAACAAGTATTTATGCTGATATCTTCGACTCAGCTTGTGCCATTTCATTAACTTCATTGACTGGAAATGGTCAGCATCAGCGAATTGACCAGATTGTTTACCTTATGTTTAGTCAAATGCTAATTGAAATGTCTGCACTGCGGCAACGATTTCCCACTGCACTCGACCGATTCAATGGGAGTGTTCCTCTCTAAATGGCAACTGGGGACATGTAATCAAAACTGGGGAAATCGGGCAATGCCATCAGGTTCAGCTCATCAACTGGTTTTTGTGGAGGAAAGGCAATGGGGCTAATGAATGGCTTCGTCTGCTAATTGTGCTGCACAGGAACGAGTTAAACGGGATCATGGGAGGGCAATCAAAATCAGTTTAACGATAACCACATAAAACTAAACAGGGAAATAAAGTCACACCTATATTTCGAAAAATGTGTGGCAAAGGAAATGCTTATCAGATATTTTTGAGTATATGTAATTTGAAAACGGTTGACATAGAATAGATCGTGTATAGTTTGATACCCTGTTATCAATCATGGTGTTTGTTCTAACTTAGCTTAAATAAGACGCACAGCCAAATTGACAATGATTTTTGAATTTTTTATCATGATTTTCAAATTCAAATTTTGTAAGGGTTTTTGTTTCAAATTGTCCAAAATAGGACGCACAGCCAAAAGAATGAATGTTTTGGGCAGCTAAGGAACTAAACTATCGATTCGAGGTTGATTTGGTAAAAATTAATTTTTTAACGATTTTCGCATTTTTTATAAGGGGTAACACCATGATTTTTTGAGGAAATCGGCCGAAAATAAAATTTTTTAGCTAAGAATACCAATGGATTGGAAATTTTGTAACGAATTCAACGAAGTATGACATACCAATATCTGACCATTATTTCCAAGGGTTTTGATAAAAAAAACGAAAATCGAGTGGCATTTTTCCAGGGTTTTGTAGGGGTTTTTGTTGTAACTCTGCCAAAATAAGACGCACATCCAAAAGAATGACTATCTTGTGCAGCTGAGAATCCATACAAACAATTCCATGTTGATTTGGTAAAATTTATTTTTGACCGATTTTCACATTTTTCATAAGGGGTAACACTATAAATTTTTGCGGAAATCGGTCGAAAATAAATATTTTGAGCTGAGAATACCAATGGATTGGAAATTTTGTAACGAATTCAACAGTGTATGACACTCCAAAATTTGACGATTATTTCCCTGGGTTTTTATCAAAAACCGAAATAAAAGTTGATTTTTCCGGATCTTCTTGATTCCGTATTTTGACTTTTGGGAAAAATCGACCAAACTAAAAGGAGACGTATCTGGCCCGATTCGAAATATAAATTCTTGATCCTACATCACTAGGCGAGTTTATATAGCCATGTTTGTCTGTCTGTTTTATTTTATACCGTTTGTCAACTCAGTTTTACAATTATTTTTTATATGTGTATTTAGATCAAGTATAATTATTTTGTAATAGTCTGTGGACTTCTCTTTAAACAACATTAAAATGTATTTATAAAGGCATAAACCAAAATTAATATAATTATTTAATACACCAAACCTGTTTTCCTTATTGGGAAAACAACACCTTTCAATTGGCTTGCCAGGCACCGCTGAACAAAAGACTTAAGACACGAACTCGACCACCCGATGCCCATTTCCTGCAACACTCGCACTTCGATTGTTTGCATAATTCGCCAAGAGTCCGAGTCAATTAAGTGGCTCTCTAATTAAGTGATTAAAACGCACGCACAAACACCATAAAAGAAACACAGCACACAGAAGTGAGGAAAATTGTGGAAATATGCAAGTTCATAAAACAAAGCCGCACGCCTCAGCAGCTGGCAGTATAGTCCACACCCGCAATTTGATTAACCAGGGGCCTTTGCAGTTTTCCAGGAACAAACACGCTTTCGCATTTTAATGCGGCACAAATGAGGCGGCGAGGCGAACCAGGCCATATGTATGAATGTGAATGTGGCACCGGCAGTTTGGGGAGTGAGTGGATGGATATGGATACACGCACACACACACACCGCCTTGTTTCTAGCTAATAAATGTTTTTTTAATGAATAAATCACTCAGCGATAAACATCTGCTTAATAACGTTCATTTAAAGAAGCGAAAACAAAACACACAACCAACAACGGCGCAAAGAAAGCCAAGCTGAGCGGAAAACAATACAAAAACCAGCACCAATGAGTTGGCGTTGATTTCAGACATTTAACTCTTTGAGCCCAATAGAGAAACTTTGAATGATTGCGCCCAGCAACGCAATATTTACCTCCGAGAAAGAGAAACCCCAGAAATAGGATCCCCTTGAATGCATCTATGACTTATTACCCAACTGTTCACACATCCAAATAATGCACCTGCTAAAACTCTTATAAATTGTCTTTGTTTCTTAAAAAAAGGGTATTGATTATTATTATTAAAAGATCTTTTCGGTAAAGTTTTCAGTTTAAGTAAAATAAAAAATCATTTAAAAGTTGTTCAAATAAATGTATTATTTTGATTTATTTCATACAACTGAACTGTATATGGATGTCAATATATAAAAAAATTATTGTTTTTCTTTTTAAACTATCTTAAAAATGAATTTTGGACATGAATAAACAAAAGTTTGATGTTTGTATACATAACTTAATGAAGGAATTGTATTGTATATTTATGATAAAATTGAGCTGTGTATTTTATAAACCTTAAACAATTTGTTTGTGGTAATCATTTATTCCTTAACTCTGTATATTCAAATACTTTTAAATTGTTTTTAGATCAAGACAACTGAGATTAAGCATAAATGGGCCTCACTAGTATATTTCCCTGTGCTGTGCACACCCATGGCCTTGTCTGCTGGCTGTCTGCAAGTGCCACAGAATTTATTTCGTACGTCTTCTTCATGTCCATGTCCAAGTTGATGGCGAGCACAGCTGACACATGCGAATAGCTCCGCTCCGATATGAAAATTAATAATTCCCTGGTAGATTCGGTATGCCGGGCACACTCAGACGGACCTGCTACCTGGGAAACGTGTTCTCAGAGTTGTCCAGTGGGGCAATCATCAATGTCAATTAAATGTTAAAATGTTGGAGGCCATTTGTGGGAGTTCGAGCAGGATGCGGCTGAGCCAGGAAAATTCCTTGACTCAGAACGCAGATGAAGCCGTCTCCGCCCCATTTGATTACCCCGCCCGCCCACTCGCCGGGCGACTGCCACCCCCTCTCGTATCCAATCCCAATCCCC